CAAACACGACCTGAAAGGGGTGTGGAAGTATATAGGGTAGAAATTTGCCCCCCCCCCCCCCCCCCCCCCCCCCCCGTCGCACAGACCGTGACAAAGAAAATCCATACCCATCACAGACCGTGGCAGACCTTTTAATACATGATTTACGATTATATATCACTAGAATCTCATAAGAATATATCAATTGCTTCCTTCTTGTAATTCGAGAGAATTAAGTAAGAAATGACGAATAAATGGGGCCCACGGTATATCGAAGAAAACCATATTCGTGTGACTAGCTACAATAGCTACATCGTGTTTTACATTTTTAATCCCGCAAGGGATTGCGCTAACAGCTTTTATATAGAAATTTGTTTGAAAGGCCCGCAAAAAGGTACCATACAAATCCAATTAGAGCTCTTCAGAGTACTTTAATGATTGAGCATTACTGATCATCTGGCAGTGTTCGAAAAAGTCCATTTTGTTTAGCATTTTCTATTGAAAAAACATCTGTCCGCCAAAGCTATGAATCCAAAAAGACGATATCCCGTCATCATACATTACAAGTAACACAAGATACAACTAAATCAGCGCCTTATTCAGGCCCCATAAAGTGTCATAGCATTGCTGTTCATCTTAAGTAAACGAATCTAACCATTTTCGTAACGGATATGAAAACTTCTATATATCAAAAGGAAAAAATTTGTTCAAAATAATCTTGAAAAATTGATAGATCATTTTACAATTCACTCTCAAATAGCCTCTATCTACAGATGTATCTATAGGAAGAAACCACTCTTGTTCAACCTTCCAATTGGATCCACCTTAAAAAAGCTGTTAGCGCAATCTCTTGTGGGATTAAAAATGTGAAACACGATGAATCTATTGCTTCTAGTTAAATGGAAATCGTTTTGTTCCATTTCTTTCGATACATTTGTAGCTAACCGTTTATCTAATGTTTTAGAACCACAGTTCCTCTATCACGGTATGTGATGGGTTCCGGTCCTGTCTGTCACGGTCTGTGATGGGTATTGGGGTTTCTCTGTCACGGTCTGTGATGCGTATGGAATTTCTCTGTCATGGTCTGTGAGAGGGGGGGGGGGTGCAAATTTCTGCCCCTAAACACTTCAACACTCCTTTCAGATCATGTTTCACAATATGCACGGTAGAATGTTTCTGTTTCTAGGTGCTGGCGTGTTCGCTGGATATACTGATGAACTTCTTACTCATCAAGTTTTGATCGATGTTGATGGAAAACTGTGTTATCGAACTGGAGATTTGGGAAGATTGAATATCGAAAGTGGACAGATTGAATTCAAAGGGCGGCGAGATTATCAAGTGAAACTCAGAGGTCAACGTATTGAATTGGATGAAATCGAACAATGTATACTTAGTGCATCATCAACTATTACTAATTGTGTTGTTCTCAAATGCGTCCAAGATGGCAGCGAGTATCTCATCGCTTACATTCAAACGCATTCTAAAGTAAACTTATCCGAAGAAGTAAGAGCGCACTGTTCTTGCCGACTTCCACTTTACATGGTTCCGTCGCTTTTTATCTTTCTCATCAATTTTCCATTAAGCAATAATGGCAAAGTCGATCGTCAAAAGTTGCCTGAGCCTGATTTTTCCCTTCTCTCACCATTTTCATCGATCACAGAAGTCATGAAGCCACAAACCGAACTCGAAATAAGAGTACAATCGATCTGGTGTGAAGTTGTACCTTATGGATCGAAAATATCAAGAACATCTTCGTTCTTTACACTTGGCGGCAATTCATTGTCTCTTATGAAACTTTCACATCTCTATCAAACAGTGTTCAATTGCAATCTAAACGTCGGTGACTTGTTTCGTCAGCCAACTATAGCTGAACATGCTCGCCTAATCGAGAAAAAGCTATATCATCATGTCTCCGAACAAGATCCGATTCGAATGTTTTGGATACCATTGCATACGATTGAAGGTAACTGATATTTCGCTTATATGCTGCTTTTCTTTCTGCATTCAATCCTCTGACTTATTGTATAGGTCCAGCTTCAAATGCTCAGACACGCATCTATTTAGACGATTATGTTCAATTAACCGACAAACAAATTGGCGTCTATAATATGCCGCTTTCATTTGAAATTCAACAAGGGTCACAATTATCGTTGAAGTGTTTCTACAACGCACTGATTTCTATGATCAAGAAACACAAAATATTGCGAACACGAGTCTTTTTTGATCAAACGAAAAGTATGCTACGGCAAATGATCATGGATATGGCTTCAGCAAAGAATTGTCTTTCTTTTGAAATAACATCTGTAGCAAATAGCAAGGAAGTTATACAGGAGATCATGAACAAAGAAAATATCGATGGATCTATCTTCGATATCAGTCAAGGTCGTGTATTTCGATGTCATATTATTCGACAAAAAGATAATCTACAACTGAACGAAGATCTTCTCTATTCTGGTTACATTATTTTTAATTTTCATCACATTTGTTTTGATAATGAGTCAGTGAAAATATTTTTGGATGATCTACAGCGAGCATATTCCTCACTTGAAAAAGAGCTGGAATCTTGTTCTTTCGACTACCTTGATTATTCAATCTATGAGCAACAGATGGATATGACCGAAGCAAAAATATTTTGGCAACAAAACTTGGATAAACTTCCAGATAATTTACTCAATCTGCCATATGACAGAATGCCACAACATTTCAATAGTCGGTCAGGAAGGGGATCATCCTTCAATATTGACATATCACAAGAAATTGTCGATCGAATGTTTGTCTTTGCTGAGAAACATCAAATGAGTTTATTTCAATTGGGTCTAACTGTCTTCTATGTTTTTCTGTTCAAGCTCAGTCAACAAACAGATCTTAGTGTTTTATCAATTAATGCGAATCGATATCGAGCAGAACTCGCTCATATTGTTGGTTTCTTTGTCAATACTGTTCCACATCGTATCATTTTGGATCCTCAGATGTTATTCTCTGACTTGATGAAACAAGTAAAACAAAATTCGATATGCCTATTCTCCTATTCTCATCTACCTTATCAAGAGATTGCTTCGAAAGTTGTAACTGCTGCCAGAACATTTTTCGTTGTAGAGGATATCGCGTCCGATGCACTTGCTGATCCTATAATGCTTAGTCGATCTGATAACAACAGAGCATTTTTAAGACAGCTAGATAATATGGGAGTTGACGATGACGCTGCTCTTTTTGATCTTTCATGTACTTTGTTCGTTTCTAACACGAATCAAACTCGTTCAATCACTGTGTCATTTAATGCATCTCTCGATTTGTTCGAAAAAAAAGGTCTCGTTAAAACGACTCATCGTTTTGTACGGCTACTTAGTCAACTCTTCTTATCAGATCAACCACTCTACACCTTTTCATTACTTCTCGATGAAGAAAGAGAAATCCTTCGAAAACTCAATGATACTCATGTCGATTATGGTCCTATTCGATGTGCTCATCGTCATTTCATTAAGCATGCTCAACAATATCCTCAAAAATTAGCTATGGTCTTCGAAGATCAATCAATCACTTATACAGAAACACTCTTCTATGCTCAACAAGTAGCATTCGATCTTGTTACTGAATATCATGTGTGTCCATATGACGTTGTAGTTCAGCTAATGGAACGATCGATTGAGTTAGTGATTGGTATTCTTGCTATTTGGATGAGTGGAGCGACATATGCACCAATCAATCCTCATGATCCTATAGCTCGCTTGAAGACATGTATGGAACAAACAAATGCGAAACATATCATCGTTCATTCAAGTACAAATCATATTTCACTTTCATCATATTCAAATATTCGGATAAATGACATTATCAATGATATGACAGAAAGAGATTTGATTGAGATTCTTTCATCCATTCCAGTCTTACCTGAACATATTTCACATATTGTTTTTACAAGTGGGTCAACAGGAAAACCCAAAGCAGTGAGTATAGAATAGTAGACTATGATATTAACAGACATTTTTACTTTCTTTCTTTTCATAGGCTCGAATTCGTCATCGCAATTTCGCTTTGTATATTTCATCTTATATCATTCAATCAAATGACAATGCTCTCTTTCATACATCAGTAACTTTCGATGCACATGTAGAAGAATCTCTGGGCAGTCTAATGTCGGGTGCACAGTTAGTGATCTTGATCCCTCTAGGACAGTTGGATATGAGTATATTTGTACGAACAATCAACCGTCATCAAGTGACATATTTAGGAGGAGTACCGTCACTCATTATTATGTTGACAGAATATTTTCGGACAATAACTATGGAAAAGTGTGAGCCAAAGGATTGTTTAAGATCGCTACGGTGCGTTTCATCAGGAGGTACTTGACTGAAATGAATTTCACATTATCTTTATTGCCATCATTAATAACTTTAATTTTTAGGAGAGGCTTTATCGATCAATAATGTTCTGGATTTCGCTCAGTTTGCTCATGATAAATGTCAGTTTTATAATTGGTACGGTCCAGCGGAATGTACAGAAGCAGCGTCTAAATATTTGATCAGTGGAAATGAATCGAAGCAAGGTCACTTACCCATCGGTCGACCTATACCAAATGTTTATATTTATATTCTTGATGACTATCTTCAACATGTAATTCCGGATATTCAGATCGGTGATATTGTTATTGGAGGTATGTATTCTTGTAGTTTTACAAGAGCCGAGTTATTGAATATTGGTGTTGATAGGTAGTGGTGTGTTCGCTGGATATACTGATGAACTTCTTACTCATCAAGTTTTAATCGACGTTGATGGAAAACTGTGTTATCGAACTGGAGATTTGGGAAGATTGAATATCGAAAGTGGACAGATTGAATTCAAAGGGCGGCGAGATTATCAAGTGAAACTCAGAGGTCAACGTATTGAATTGACTGAAATTGAAAGTACCATACTAGAAGCCACTGATTGGGTACAAAATTGTGTTGTGGTTATTCAAATAGACGAGGAAAGCTTATCTAGTCTGGTAGCTCATGTTATGGTGAAGACCGAAGACGATCGTTTAAATGAAACTGTCGTCGATTATTGTCGACAGCATTTACCATTCTATATGGTTCCATCGATGTGGTCGTTTGTTGATCATCTGCCAATAAATGATAACGGAAAAATAGATAGAAAACGATTGCCTCGTGTTTCTCATAATAGACATCAGGATGAAGTAATTACACCAAGAACCGAATTAGAAGAGCAACTACAACTTATATTTGCTCAAGCTTTCCATATGCCACTGGATGGTATTGATGTTACCCTCTCTTTCGAATTACTTGGTGGTACATCATTAGGAATAATACATGCATTATCAATGATTCGCAGTCAAATCTATGAAGGCGTAGATGTCAATCTTCTTCTAACATATTCCTCGATCCGAAGGTTAGCTGTTAAACTAGAATCGCTTCGTTTGTGTGAAAATGCTAGTAACAGACCAGCTGAAGATAGCAAAATTACGTTATCATACCCAAAACCATGTTTAGCTATAGAAACAGCCGGAATTTTTGTATTAGGTGTTGTATTACTTTTGCCTTTTTATATCGGATACAAATGGTTAGCGAACCAATATTTCTTTTTATGGATACCAATATGCAATATGTTAACCTATGTTGTGTTCCGCTGGCTTTTGAGTCCTTCAAATACAAGAAAGAATGAAAAACTATTTTCCATCACTTATTATCGATGGTGGTTTCTGAATCGCATGTGGACATGGAATAGAAGTCTTTGGCTTCGTTGCCTTGTCGATACAGATTTCTACAACTTTTACCTGCGTATATGTGGTGCACATGTTGGATGCAATGTACATATTTTGACAACGCAAATCGATGCACCCTGGCTAATCAATATCGATGACAACGCTTTTATTGCCGATGAAGTGTATCTTAATAGTATTTCATATCAGAGTCACACATTCAATCTGCATTCGATATCGATAGGTGCTTCTTGCAAAATCGATACGCGAACTGTTCTTCACAAAGATGTTCAAATTCAGCATGAAGCCTGTATTGAATCGCATTCTGTAGTCACAGGTTTGGTGGCCGGTACAAATCAAGACAATTTAATTTTAGTTTCACAACTTTTCAAAGTTTTTCGTACAATATTTCAATTCGCGTGGATATTTGTCATGATCGCCTGGCATACTCTGTTATTGAATATTGTAACTTCTATCTATTTTTCAAATTTTCCGAGATGTTTAACCTTTTCGATTTGTTGGCTTTTGTGGATTTTTTCGTCAGCAATGGCTGGTCTATTTTTACTGAAATATGTTGTCGGAAAAGGCCTGAAGCCAGGTACTTATAAAATCAATTCATGGTCATATCTTCGACATATTTGGCTTCGTCAATTGATAGTCACAACTGTTCGCTATTCTCTATCGGTACTATTCGATGATTATCAGTCAGTCTGTATTTCGATTTTGAGATGGCTTGGAGTTCAGATCGACGGCACTAATATTAAACTAGCTGAGATTGTTCCATTTCTTCGTTTCCCAACTCATCTTCTTTCTCTAGGTAATGAATTTACTAGCTTTGGCAATGTCCAACTCGTTCCTTTCAATCTTGACACGAATTACACATTTACTATCAATCGTATTCGTTTTGGAAGAAAAGTAACTCTTGGGAACTATTGTTCGATTCATCCAGGAGTTTATCTTGGTTCCGATATACTTGTTGCCACATTGACTTGCGTAAAACAAGAGACATTTGATGTCAACAACAAATCCGAAATTATTCTTCTTGGCATACCTGCTCGTCACATGCCGTTTGTTCAACAGACTGTTCAAGTCAAAGATACAACAACTGATACGAATCGATTTTTATTTGATTCTCTCAGACGAACTTTGGCTGCCAAAATGGTACTCGTATTTATCTACAATTTTTGTTTTCAATTTATTTCAAACGAATTCTACATTTGTTTACTAATTCTACCATTTCTTTTGATTTCGACGATTCTCTTCAGTTTTCTAAGTTATATATGTGAACAATTGAAACATTGTGTGTTCTCTCTTGGGAAAAAAATAACTGATCAATTTCATGAGATCATGTTTTCTGTAGCTATCGATTCATATTACATCATAGACCCATTATTGGGTGGTACTCAATGGCTGGTTTATATTTGCAGAAGTCTTGGTGCTCAGATAATTGGAAATGATATTATTTTAAGCGAATCAAGCAATATTATGGATCATTCGCTTATCACCGTCGGTGAACATGTTCGCATGAGTGCCGGAGCAACAATTCAAGTGAGTTTATTCTGATAGAAAGAAATCTTATTAATGAAAAAAAAACAGTGTACATATATAATAAGTACTTTTCAGAGGAACGAAGTCTATTAATCGATTTGGTTTTTTTTTAAACACTATTTAGAAAGGTATGCAGGCACAGAACAAATTTTAGCCATTGAAAGATGCGAGATGATGAAATGTGATTTCCAAAAATAATATACAATAATAAATAGTTGGAAACAACAACTAACACCGCTTAAGATAGGGCTGATCCATGATTTATTCGAATACTATTTACTTTTGTGTTTTGCAAACTTTGTGGTCAGCACAAGAATTGCAGAGCAACGATTCAAAACATTTTGTATCATAAGGGAATGCGTTCAATGATTTTTTCATTGTAAGTATCTGTAAGCAATGCAACTGAGTATTACCAATTCATAACCTAACTTTGCGTGCACCATAAACTTAATAGACTGATCTTGTTATTCGTTTACCATTCAGAACAGAGGAAAGTGAAAATGTTGCAAAATTCGTATCTAAATTGAATATACAAATATCTAATATATATATATATATATATATAATATTGCTTTTATTTAAATAATGAAGTATGTGGCGTGTCCTCACGCTTCTTTGTCATGGACGAACTTCGTCCCTGTGACAGAAAAAGAAAAACCATACATATTGTTCAATGACGAGAATAAACATATGAAGAAGAAAAAAATACATAAATAAAGAAATAAATTTAAGTCACATAAATACAGAAATACAGAGAAGTAAATTTAAAATACATGATCAGATTACATAGAGAAAGAAACAGTGTGCACAGAAAAAGAACAATACTTTTCTTTTAAGCTAAAGGGATGGAGATAAGGATAGCTTTTATGGTTACAATAATAGCACACTCAGAAGCATAAAGCGTGATCAAATAAGGAAAATTTGAGATCGTGGAATATGTTTAAGATTTTCTTACTTGTTCTTCCTTTTTTTACAATTGATCTTCTTTCTTTCAAAAGAAGAGGATTATGATAGTACTCGTGTATATATAACAAGTACATTTTGTGTTGAAAAAAGTCACACAACACAGATGGATTTGTTCGGATCATGGTCTGAATTATCTTAGACCAATGTGTTTGTGCTAGTTTGTCAATAGTTTTAAACTTTGGTAGATGTGATATTTCATCATTAGTTGCATCATACCAATAGTGGATAGTTCTAAACATCTGCCTATTTACGACTTCAAGATGATTTTGTTTAGATTTTGATAAGATTTGGTAGATGTTCAACAATGATTGATAATATGGTCTTATATAAGCATTATATAGTCGATAAGCTATAGCTTCGCTTATCATTCGACTAGAAATAAAATACTTAAATATTTTAGAATTTTTACGAATTTTGGATTCTATATGATTAAGATGTGATCTGAATGACAGTTTACTATCAAGAATAGTTCCAAGATATTTTATTTTATCACAATGAGAGATAAGGTGTCCATCACAATCGATATGAAGAGGAATGATAGGAGCCACTTGTCGATGGAATAATACCCAGAACGTCTTCTGAAAGTTGATCGGTTGTTTCCAAATTGATGAATAGGAAATTAAAGCACTAATGACATCCTTGATTTGTTCTATAAGTTTGGGTATGAGAGCTTTAGAGGACCAATTTGCTGATGAGGACACCAAAACAGATAGATCATCTGCAAAAAGATGTTTCCAATGCAGCAAGGATATGCTATTTAGAATATCATGATAGTATAGAATAAAAATAACTGGTCCTATACAAGATCCTCGTGGAACACCCTTATAAAGCGGGAAGGTGCTAGATGTAGATCCATTTATATTTATATAAGCTGATCTTTTAGATAGGTAGTTCCACAGCCAAGCCATTAGATAAATAGAACAACCTAAACGGTGTAGTTTCAGCATCAATCCATTAAACCAAAGCTGATTGAAAGTTGATTTAAAATCAATAAATAAGCCAGCAGCTGCTGTGTTGACCGATAGACTTTGACCAATTTGATCAATTATTGAAACTAACCTCACTGCCATATTGTGTCCTGGTCTAAATCCAGTTTGTTCATCTGGTAAGATGCCATTGTCGTTCACCCACTGGTTAAAATATGAAAGAAAGATTTTTTCGTATAATTTGGAAAAACACGGTAAGAGCGAAATAGGACGTATATTGTTTATATTGACGATATTGGTCTTTGTTTTTGACAAAAGGATAACTTTAGCCGTTGTCCAGTGCGATGGCATGCATAAATAGGACATCAAATAGTTGAAAGAGGAACAAATGAATGAATGGTGTGATGATGGTAATAGCTTGATTATCTTGTTAGAGACATCGTCTACACCCGATGAACTCTTATTCTTTAACGATAGGATAGTCTTTGTGATATCCTTGATTTTTATGTTTGAAGCTACCAGTTTTGATTTATTAAGATCAGTTTCAAGTTGTTTCACTATATCCTCCGCTTCAATTTCAATTGCAGTAGATGTATTCAAGTGCTTGGAAAACTGTTCTTCATAAAATAATTTGGCAAGATCGCATATTTCATTTGGTGAAGAGATCACAGTAGCGTTAGTAGAAAGAAAACCGTTGATAGGTGGGCTAGTTACTGAAAAATGTTTCCGTGCTTTTCTCCAAAATTGTTTTATATCACCAAAGTTTAGTGAATTACAATATTTGTGCCAAGATAAACGTTTATGCGTAAAAATTTCTTTTCGTATTATTGTTGCATATGCTTTTAATTGCGTGATGAAGAAGGGATGTTTTGTTTTCCTCACCAATCGCAATACGCTATTCTTTTGCTGTATTAAATTAACTATGTGGGACGGAAGTGATGATTTATAGGCGTCGCAATAAGATACATAAGTCAATCTGGATACCAACAAAGACAGAAAACGTTCATACGTGCTGAAATAAAAAATAGCATCATCACTTTTGAACAATAAGTCGTTCCAGTAAGAAAAAGTAAACGTTAAAAATAGTTTAACTAATAACCAATATGTACGTTTGATAGGATAATGACAATCACTTTTTCGTA